TTCTATTCTATTCTATTCTATTCTATTCTATTCTATTCTATTCTATTCTATTCTATTCTATTCTATTCTATTCTATTCTTTTCTATTCTATTCTAACTAAGAAATATATCCCCTTAAACTAGGGTACTCAAACAAATCATTAGTCTGGCTACATTACTCCTTCACATAGTTTTTAGATGTTTACTTTTTTTATTCAATTTTTCTCCCTCCACAGGTGCCAAAGGCTTGATCCGAATAACTCGAATTATAGCTCCTACCACCTTTTCCTGTTTCTATTCCTTCACCTTTCATTGGGTCAAAACTAAAAAACATCCAGGGTAGGTAAGGACTTCTAGACTGCCTGAACCACCTTCAGCCTCTACAAACCTCATTAGGCGGTTGGATTGTTGGAACCGTATAGCTCGTGACTAGGAACGTAAAAAGTTCCCTATGCTAAATAAATAAGCACTAGGAAGCTTCCCGCTACCTTGTCCTAGCTTCTTCCTCACTGCCAATACTATTTGGTCAGCACTTACTATGCTATCACTGGTGCATTTCCACTTAGTTTCCTTACTGGTTAAAGGTATGTGGATCGAGCCACATACCTACCGGAAAGGTAGTCTGACTATGAATTTCTTTGCTCACTTTGGGTGCCTACAAAGATTTTCCAAATATATTTTGACACCATGTTGGCTTATTATACTTTACAGTGGTATTTGACACTTGTTTGGTCAATTTGCTAGTGAACTTATTTACTGTTAATATATTTACCGTTGTGTCGCACTGACTCCAATCATGATGAAGTGCTTCGAAAGGCTGGTTAAAGAACACATCGTCTCCAGTCTGCCACCACATTCGACTCATTCCAATTTGCCTACCGACGAGACCGCTCCACTGAGGACGCCATCTGTGTTGCTGCTTTCTGCATGATTGTGTCCCCAGGTTCACCACCAATCCCATCGTGAAGTCGCTCTGATGGCAAAACAGTTTTTGTCCCATTTTGTTATATTTTTTTTTGTCCCAACGACCTGGACTACAGAGAGGAAGTTGATCAGCTGGTGGGCTGGTGCAGAGAACATGAAGAAGATGAAGGAGATCATCGCTGACTTTAGGAAGAACCGGCCTAACCACGCTCCATTGGTCATCAACAGCTCAGCTGTAGAGGTGGTCAACAGCACCAAATTCCTGGGGTTGCACATCACAGACACCCTCAACTGGAACGTTAAAACCACCTCACTGGTCAAAAGGGCACAGAAGCGCATGTACTTCCTACGGAGGATGAGGAGAGCCCACCTGCCCTCACCCATCCTCATCACCTTCTACAGAAGCACCATAGAGAGCGTTCTGACCAGCTGTCTCACTGTGTGGTGTGGAGGCTGCAGTGCCTCAGACTGGAAGAAAGTGAGGAGAGTGGTGAGAACAGCAGAGAAGATCATCGGGCCTCCTCTTCCCTCCATAAAAGACATTTCATCCCAGCGCTGCATGACCCAAGCCCATAAAATCATCAATGACCCCTCACACCCCCAACATGGACTGTTCTCCCTGCTGCCCTCTGGGAAGAGACTTTGAAGCATCTGAAGCATCTCAATTTTCCCTAGCAGAGGTGTGAAAACAAATAGGACAAAGTATTGGACACCAATAGAGACAAAAAACAGTATAAATATTATATAATATAAATATTCTTATAATAAAAAATATGAACATTTGTGTTCCTTGAACCGGGAGTAAAAGCTTCAGAGCCTGCCAAGTTGGTGGATGTGTGAGTTAGCACATGTCAACGCTGTACAACAATGTGTATGCTTCCTATTCAAACCAATAGCAACATTTTTCAAAGGTTAAAAAAAAAAAAAAAAAAAGTAAATACTATCAGGATAAACGTTTGGGTTTATATTTAGAAGAGGGACATTTTTTTGTGTGTTTTCTTTAAAGGCAGTATGTGATTGCACTCATTTAAGATCAATTTCCCAACAATTACAACAAGTTCACTTGGAGGGATCAAAGTGAGGTACTGAACACTTGGAACCATGAGTCAAACATGGTGGTGGCAGCAAGAAGTGGGCCTTTACATTCCAGTGGTTTTGGTGCTTATTGTGGTAACAATATTAGAAATATACTGCCTCAAAATTGTTCTACTTCCCTACAGTCAGCTATGGGGTGGTTGAAACTTGTAGGACAGTGACCTCAATTACAAATCGAGTATAGCATTGGAATAGAATGACTAGGTTAAAAACACACTTAATTTTAATTAAAACCTGGTTCTGTGTAACTTTGAATTCTGCACAGTATTTGGAAAGGCTCCTGTTAAAAGCATTTGCAAAAGTTATAAATAATCAAGTAGATTTCATGAAGCTGATTGGGTAAATCCAGAAGTGGCCTCTGTCTCCCACATTAATCTTTTAGCCAATCACAGCATCAGTAGCAGATGTGACGAATCACATTCTACATTTGTTTCACAGTTAGCGAACATAACCGATAAATCAAATCCAGTCGGGATGAATGATCAGACATAATTTCCATTGAGAAAGGTGCTAGTTGTGTCCTTTAGCTAATTTCTCTGAAAAGAAAGACAGGTTATTCCAGCTAAAACCAGCTCAAACGTTTCAGCCTGTTGCTTCTGGTTGATGTCATACGAATCAAAGTATGTCATTGGTTCAAACACATTTCTGTATTCCGGACAAATGCTTCTTCATCAACTTCAAGCAAGATGTGTTTTTGGGAGATGGTGAATTCACAAATTTTGTGAAAATTCATTTTTGCTTGTGAGGTAAATAGCTGTGCCAAGAACCAACTCATTCATCAATATCAACTCCACTGATTAACCAATTGTTTTCTGGTTTCCTATGTGACGTTGACCGAATTACAAGTGCATACACACACTGTTCGTATAATAATGACCCTGTATGGATTTGGTTTTGTTTTCACCAATTTATTTGTAAATGATTCAGGAGAATTTGCAAGCAGAGCATTTGGAGAAGACTTATAAGCTTTTCAATGGAATTAACTATATGTGCCATTTGACTCCAATCATCATCCTTTGCACCAGCTAAAAAGCTGTTCATAATTCAATAAAATCAATATTTTCCAAGAAACATGCTTTCTTTAAAAACCTTCAGCTAGCAAGTCCAATCATTTATACTGTGTGAAGACATAGACTGGTTTTGGGTAGAGGAAGTTTTAAAAAAGTAAACATCTTCCTCTTTAATGAGATCCTGGAGAAGTTTCAGACTGACTTTTCTCACGTATCATAACATGTAATCATGTGTTGCCCCTCCTCCACTTGTGGCAGCACATGCTACTGATTTATTTATTTATTTTTTTTGCTTAACAGAAAAAATGAGAATATTCTGGACTTTTACAGTGTGGAAATGATATAGCTCCTTTGATTACTCTGTCTTAAAGCAGCGGCTACAGGCTGGACAGATGAACAGTTAGCCTGACGGATACCAGCCAATGAAAATGTATTATGCTGTACATAAATATAAACTCTCTGTTTTTGTTCATCCATCCGTTTTCCATCATGCTTATCCAGGGTGCTTGTCCAGGGTGCTTGTCCAGGGTGCTTGTCTGGACAGGTCGCCAGTCCATCGCAGAGCAACACAGAGACAAACCACCATTAATGCACACATTCGCATCTAAGAAGAATTTAGATTGACCTAACAGTCATGTTTTTGGACTGTGGGAGTACCAGGAGAGAACCTACGTGTGCTCAGGGAGAACATGCAAACTCCATGCAGAAAGACCCCGGGCTGGCAGTGCTACCCACTGCGCCACTGAGCAGCCCGTTTTTGTTTCGTTTTAGTGTTAAATAAAAGAAAAGGGAAATGTTACATGTGAATATTTTATTACTGTAATAGCTGAAACTAACAATTACAATACAGCAACAAAACACAATGCAAGAAATAACATTGTTTGGTTGTAGAACGAATGATTGTTTCTTTTTTTGTTTGAAGAAAAGCCAGAAAAAATGAATGTTTTGTGTGAACAGTGTGATACCATGAAATTGTCATATGTTAGGTTCAGGCTCGCAAACCACAAACATATCCTGCAAACTCATGACTAGTTATGACTATGACAAGTCCAGGGTTTCAGCTCCGTACAAGAACCCTAACCATGCTCTCTCATTCATTCATAAAAAGATCAACCCTTATGGTCAAATTTCCAGCCACCAGAAGGTAATTATTACAATCAGATATCCAGTTAAAAAGCCTCAGAAACTCTGGTCCAAAACAACTGAATTACACAACAACTTACATTAGAAACAATCACTTTGGAGCTGCAGATATGTAACAAGGTAACCTGTTGTGATTCAGCAGCTGAACGTGAATGATATGGCTGGATAGAGTCAGTATAATGGTACCATCGGGACGCTGGGCAGAGAAAGGTCAGTGAATACATGTGAACTGGCCGGCTCAATAATCCAGATGCAATTAATTTAGCAGCTGAAGAATTGAACGCTCCTTTGAGAATGGGGTGTTACTACGCATAATACTGTAAAAATGTAAAAAATATTTAAATAAAGAACTGAAATTATAACAACCTACAAGGTATAACACTGTAGAGAAAAAGGTTGAAATCTAGATTTTCCAGACTGCTTGTGAAGTACTCTCACATCATGCAATGGTATGCGCGCAGGCAGATGGAACAGGTCCATGAATGAAGGAGTCAGATCGGCTACCAGCTCAGAGAAATGAATGAAGGGCGCTCCAGACTGCTAACATATAAATTAAACTCTTGGGAAATAAATGCGGAGACGAACAGAGATGGAGCTACTCACCCTGGGCGCAGCAACAACGAGACAGCTAGAAGCAGGCGGAGATGCGGGGATCAGAGGAGGAGAGTTTTCTGGGAATCAGTCGATGTCGGCCTCAGAGCAGGGGCGGGGGGAATAAAGCCCACCTCGGCTGGTTCACTTTAGGATCAGGAGCCTGTTTAAGTCTCTGCCGTGAAGGGGTCAGGGCAGCTGTCAGTCAGAGCAGGAGGATGATAACAGAGGAATGTTAGGTTCACGTTCGGTCGTGATCTCTGGAAATCTGTGTGCTCTAAAGTCCGCTGTTCTCTGACAGGGCGCTGAAACGTGGAAACGCCTTTTCCTTCTCTCTCTCTCTCTCTCTCTCTCTCTCTCTCTCTCTCTCTCTCTCTCTCTCTCTNTCTCTCTCTCTCTCTCTCTCTCTCTCTCTCTCTCTCTCTCTCTCTCTCTCTCTCTCTCGCTCGCTCGCTCGCTCTCTGTACCCCCCCATCTCTCCCTTTCTCAGCGCGCTGTCTGATTCGTCCAGAGATCGTCTGTTGTAACAATGTCTCACTCCGAGGCGTCAGCTGTAATTTTATCACTTAACAAGCAAAACATTTGTTCTGATTTTGTTTTTTTTTAGGAAAAACTTGAAAAATACAATCACATGCTAAATTAATACATCTTATAAATGGAGGCCCAAACGATTAGGGTATTAAAAGCATAAGCTTGAAGTGCATATTGGTTAGTTTCTAACTGCACTGAAAATATGTTGAACAGTTCTGCAAATTTGAATAAAATTGTGTTTTTAAAACAAAACCAAAACAATGTTGTAAATAAAAGCTTTCCTATTCCGTTGTAACTATTTAAATATCGGTCCATAATTATTTAGACTTAGACAACTTTTATTGTCATTTTGAATACACAGTATACAGAACTAAATTTCGTTTTGTACAGCTCCCATGACATTTCCATTTCTTAAAGTGAAGAAGTAATGAAATATAAACATTGTGGGCGAAAAAAACATGGTGTGAACATTGTAATTTAAAAGCTTGAATGGCATTGAAAATATTCTGATTGAACTTAAGATAAAGTAATTGGCTGCTGAGTAACTATGATGACCTACACAATCCACCATGAAAACAATTAGCACCTAGCCAATGAGGCAAACTACACTCTAAGTGATAGGCCTCAACAAAATAAAAAGGTAGTTTAAAGGTATAGAGGATGATCTCTTATTTCCGGGTGATGATCTAAATAAGTGGTCCTCCTAATTGTCAATCATTCTGGTGATATGTTTAGAGCCTATCTTTAACACTGTGGTTTTTTGAAAATGGCAGAGGGTCGTAAGACAAAAAGTGTCTACCAAGAGTATGAGAAGAACAGAAAGGCGTCAGAAGAGGCTGATATATCCCAGAATGCTTTGCGCAGAGAACTCTCCTCGCAAAGCATTATAGGATTTGCTGTCGCAGGGGTTTGCTGTCACGTAGGCTGCCGCTAATAACTAATAACAAAGATGGCACAGGCTCCTCGCAGTGGACCAATGGGGAAGTGATCATCTGTCCGAACGGTAAATTGACTGACTTCACCATAAAGTCCCTGCTCTATATAGTGATTAAGGGATTTTAGTGATTTATGGGTTAGGGCGGACGTTTGGGCACAGTAAGCTTGTATGAGCTACAGTATGTGAATAGCAACTTTTAAACAGAGCATGAGGAAAAATAAGCTTGTGCACGCATTTTTTTTTAAGTGGAGAGGGCGGGTCTTTTGAAATATTTGAGAAAATCTTCCACAATACCTTTAATAGATATGTTTTTTGTCTGCACTTTTTTCATAAACAGGTTTATGACTAGACCAGACTAGGACTAAACCAGGATTCTTCTAATTCAAACATATTCCTTAGAACTTCACCTTTTAAGATAGGAGTTGTCGTTAAAGGATCATAAGATTTAAGGAGCTTCTACAATGAAAAAAAAAAATATATATATATTTTAAGACAAGTAAGAAAGACTTTAGTGCCCCCGAGGTCTTTAAGCAAAGAAGATCATAGAAACAGAGAAAGCTTCTTGTCTGATCTACCACCTAAATAGAGCTAGTTGATGAATCAATCCAAAATATCAACAATTTCCATATCAAATTTTGTACATAAATGTTGAGTTGACACTATCATGGTAAAATGTATGCTTTAATTTTTGAGTGCTGCTGTAGATAATAATTGCACCTGTAAGGGAAAACTTAAAGAAAAATAAATAAACCTCTCCAAATTCTGTCCTTTGTTTTACCACAATAATTAAAAGGAAAAAACAAAACAAAAGCAGAAGTGTCTGAAATTTCAGTTTTTAGCTGTATGACACCTGCATTTAAAAGTATTGTTATTTGCAATACGAGCCCTGCATTTGCTGGGTATCCGAATGATGATAAAGCAGTATCACACATCTCTGCTAAAATTGGAATAAACAACTGCATAAACATATTACATCTATTGAAAGATGTCGGTTTCAGCAATTCTACCAGACAGGTTGAAGATGGTCATCTAATAAAGTTAATTTATGAGGATTAATAGATAGAAGAAATACTGAATAAATTTAGTAAAAGGTGGGCAAATGTAAAATAAAAATAGTAGATAGTATTATTTAAAGATTCTAAAATTTTACATCATAAATGTTTAAAAAAAAAAATATTTAAGACATTATAAATACTGTATAAGCATTGAGGGAGTATTCAAAAGAGTTTATTGTTTGCTGCACTGAACATAATGGTATCAGGAAACAGAAGGCCTCCTCAGTTATTGCAGCACATAGGGGGTGGTTGCCTTTCTTCCCATACCTAATTAAAAAACAAAACGAAAAAACAAACAAAAAAATGTTTAATGATCTCAAAGGGGAATCAAAAGTTGTTGTAACATGTAGGCTTTTCTTTTTTGTGTGTCCTGTTTGCCTATATAGCTTTGGGAATCAATGTCCCAGAGCTGTATGATAGACCATTTGCTTTCACAAGGATACCATTATGGTTGTTGGCCTAAGGTTCGACTTGGTACCTATATGTCTACTGTATATGTCTACTGTATAGAAAATTACATACAACATACGTTGAAATAGAAAGGGAGAGGGTATGAACTCGGGGGAGGGAAAAAGAGATACAGACAAGGAAGAGTGCTAGAAAACAGAGACAGTAAATAAAAGCAGCAAAAATACACAGCAAAGAAGATATGCAGTAACTCCTTGATGTCTGCTTCCACACCTGAATGAGACGAGAGGGAAAGGAAAACAGAGCATAACAACAGCAAAAGAAGACAGACAAGCAATGTAAACATCAAAAAAGCTTCAAGAGCAGCAGTTATCACTTAGATAAATCTGTGTGTGGAATGCAAAACCTATGGTGATTACACAGTATTAATCAGAGTGGTGCATACCTCTGTAGTTACAGCTTTGTATTTAGTATTAGTGTGGATCTGTACCAACCACACTCCTGCGGTATGTATGGTTGTGTATAAAGGATTTACAAAGCTTCTTCAGAAAGAAAATATTCTTAATATCAGGTGTGGGTGGCCCTAAACCCACCATACAGGGCCCAGGACCCCATAAACAGGTGAACCCGGCCCCTGATATCCACAGGCACCCCAGATCACTGAGACACAAGGAAGGCAGACATAGTGCTGGCTGCACCAACCAGAAAAGGGCCGACTAGAGCAACCGAAAAGGGGCCCAACCCCAAAGGCGATTGTACCTAGGTCTCACAGGGACATGACAGTGAGCCCATGGGCTCTGATGTCAGCCAGTCACACATCCAAGGTGGGGCCAGATGAGGGTCATGGGGTCCGAAGCCCAGGGGCGCACCACTCCCCGACAGGGAAAGAAGACCTAGGCCCGGCCACAAGGAATGAGCACATCGAACCGTGTACCTTGAGAACCGTCAGTGTACCTGCAGCAATGGGCACTTCTCATCTGTGGGGAGCATAAGAAGGGGGAAGAGGGTATAGGCTTTCTAAAGAAAAGCTTTTGCAGATATTATTTTTCATTTTTCTTTTTCCAGACATTTATGCGAGGAAGAGAATCCTTATTCGCAATTTAAAAACTATTGAATTACTAGATATGCTCAGACGTAAGTGTTAAAGAATAGCCAGTAATTCGTTTCTTGAACAGTTTCCTTTTTAGTCCTAATGAGTCTAGAGCACTTGCTTAATAGGTTGGTGAAATATATATATATATATATATATATATATATATATATATATATATAT